TCTATTGGAACAATTAGAAATAAGTAAAGCTGTTAAAAATAACAAAAAAACTTAACGAATGAACAACAAATTTTTATCGGCCACCATATTTTAAATAAAATAATTTAGATTTAAAAAATAAAGTAATATACAACTTATAAAAACATATTTTACAAAAAGTTTTATAGTAGGTACCAGATGTGGTTATATAAGCAATGGACACAAATTGTACTGTTCAGTATTCCCCTGTACTCTTGACAAAGGCCTGAAAAGCCGAAACACGTGTTTCTAATAAAATATCTTTGAAACATTAAAAAGCAAATTTCTTTCATATATTTATAATTATAATTTCTTATTGAACAAATTTTAAAACATTTTGAGGAAATGAAATATAGTGATTTTGGATAAGTAATAGCCACAAATGACTACAATAAATTATATTTCAAATAATGTATCGCTCTTCAAGATTTAACTGTGAATCCCACATAGCACACATTCCAGTAAACACCAAAGTGTGGGCCTTTGCTAGGCTTTCTTTAGGCCATCATTTCCAACAAAGACAGGAAAAAAGTAATTTTAAGCTGAAACATATATATATGTATATATATATATATATATATATATATATATATATATATATATATATATATATATATATATATATATATATATATATATATATATATATATATATATATATATATATATATATATATATATATATATATATATATATATATATATATTTATTTTGATTTTTGTTACAAATACTTAATAATTAATAGTGTAAGTAAATAATACAATGTAAAATAACCATAAATATGTTTTTAAAATATTATATTAATTGTAGTTCTCTGATGATGGTGTAATAAACCGAAACGTTAGAAAAGATTAATAAAATTAGTTATACTTGACCGAAATCCTCAAAAAACTCAGATATTATTTAAGCTGAAACTATTATAAACTTTTACATTAACCGTTTTCTAAGGAAGCTATAACTTATAATACACCCTTCAGTGGGTAAAACAAACAGTTTTTTATAAATACCTGAAGAAAAGTGATTCTTTTTATTTTGTATACCACATTACTTAAGATATTTTATTTCATCAAATATATATTAAGAAAAATACTCATAGGCGTCTCGTTTAAGGGGGTAATTTCCCGTTTTTGTGCTTTTATTTAGTGTTTTAAAATTATACTAGTGTGGTATATGTGGGAAATAATGAATATTACAGAAGTTGTTTAATTTTTTTAAACAGATTTTCTCATGTATCCATTTGCTAACTATTAAAATACAATAGGTATGTTGTTGAGAAGCAAATTATTTTAATTTATTAAATATACTAATATACCTATAATAAAAAAATACACAAGAGCAAAATTTGTTTTGCAGTTTTTATAAATGGAATAATTAAAGTTAAATGTTTGTTGTCATTGGTACTTACTTCCGTTATTTCGCGGAGGTAGTTTTTTGTATACAATAACCCATAAACATGGATGTATCTGTCCTTCTTCATGTCTATTCAGAAAAATAGTTCCCTCCTATAAAATAAAGTGTTTTTCTATAAATATTTCTTTTACCAATATGTTATTTATTCTTATTCATCTGATATAGAAAATAAAAATCAGGCCCATCCCTACCAAGGGGTGCAAGGGGTATCTCGCACACCGGTGGCAATATTCAGTTTAAAAAAGTAATAAAATAACTAAAGTAATTTGACTATTATCCGAGCCTATTTTACCGTCAGGAGCATTATGCGCATGCATAGGGCCCAATGGCAAGAGGGGGCCCGAAACACAAAACAATCAATAAAATCATAAAAATGCACAAAAAATAAAAAATAAAAATACCTAAATCTCTCAGATAAAAAAATTGATTAGAATCGTGTAATTGTGTAAACGAGGTTTACCGGCGGAAGATCATTTTTTACGTTAAAACGAGTAAATTGGTATTTAACAAACTTACTAAAAGTAGAACATTTTTTATCCTTAAGGATTTTAAATGTTGAAAGCGATATTCTAGATAGGTTAAACATAAATAAAATAATTAACTTTTCCGAAATGAAAAAAATTTTAGGTAGGTACCTACCTAGTTATTAATAATTAATCCTTAATAATAATTAAATTCTTGTGTTAAAATTGGAGCTGAAAAAATCGGAAAAAGTGAAACCGGTTAATTGGTTTCAAAAACCGGTTACTGAGAGAACCGGGTATCCAAATATAAATCCAAACCGGTTATTCGGGTAAACGGATATTCGAAAAATCAACTACTCGGATATCGGTTATCCGAATAACCGACTATTCGGATATCCAAAAACCTGCTTATTCGGTTATCCGAAAAGTTGTTAATCGGTTATCCGAAAACCGGTAAATTGGATAATTGAAAATCCAATTAATAAGAAAACATATTAGATTGAGTTAATTTAGATCCAATAGACCAATAAATTTAATATTTTCATTTCAATTTCAATACTCAGTAGGTACTAATATAAAAAAACTCGATAAAATAAAAATATAAAAGAAAATTTTCTCTAATTTTGAAAAGATCTGATTCCCTTTTCAAAATTAAAGAAAATTTTTTTAATTTTTTTACCTAAGTATTCCGCTACCTCCCGATCTCTAATTCTATATAAATATTGCACAATACGAGTCGAGACGTTGAAGTTGAAAATAGACACAGCAAAGAAAAAAGGGTAAAGGATTGTTTTTCCTGCTTTTCTTTATGTAAATTCTAAACTAAACAGGCGTCGGTGGCCACCTGTCCGCCTTTAGTTTCAGATTTCAACAGTATTTGAAAAAAACAAAATTAATTTTAATTGATTATCCGAATAGTCGGTTATTAGAATAGCCGGTTAATCGAATATTCGGTTATCCTAAAATCCGGTTATCATAATAACCGATTTTCATAATAACCGGTTATTCGAATAACGGGTTAACCGAAAACCGGTTTTAGTTTTTGTACAAAACCGCGAATAATCCAAACCCGATTAACCGGTTACCCAGAAAACCGGTTTCAAGTTCAAAATGTGTTATGGTTTTAGTTTTTTTCCCAAGGTAATTTGAGAAGTTGTGTAGTTTAAAATCAAAACATATTGAGTATGTTTTTTGTTTTTGAATACATTTGTTTTCATTTCGTTTTTTTTTTCTATCGTTTCTACTAAATTCTTGATAAACTGGTACTAAAATATTTTACACCTGTTTGGTACTCCTTTCACCCTAAAACGTTGCTCGAAAATTTGCTAGAGACTAGGGCCCAACTCAGTTAAAAATATTTCAAACACAACAGCAAATTAAAGCGGCCATATTGAAATAAAACATTAGCAAGAAGTCACAACGAGTAAGCGATTTCTGAGCGATTTTTGTTAGTTCTGCTATGTAACTACACTAACATGGCTTCGTGTTTTAAAAAATTTTAATATCAGAAGTTCTATATACCAACACCCATAAACACCTCAAACATAAGATGAAAAATTATACGACGAAACTCTCCATACTTTATTAAATAAATAAATAAATATCTTCCTTCTAACGGATCTTCATAAATGATTGAAAACCACGTGATCAATTAGTTCCCTTTAACAGCCTCGTCGATTCGTGCCATCAGCAAGACGACGTGTACCAGAAGTTTACCCAGTGTAAAAGTTTAAAAATGTAGTTAAAACCAGGAAATTGTGTGAATATATAATGGCGCTAAATTATATTTTTTCTCACCCTCCACATTTTTTAAACATCCTATTATTTATTTTAAATATATTGCTCTTATAATATTCGACCTTTTTACAAAAAAAAGGGAAAGTAATAAGGTTCACTCAGAAAAATCCATACCCCTCCGCATCCGCCACTCTAAAACTTACACAAGAAAGAATACTAAGAACCACCAAGCACAGCGCCACATGCTTCATTTTTACGGGTTACAGACAACTAACTGAAATAAAAATAACAAAAGAATAATTTTTTGTCATTAGTAAAATCGATGGTATCTGTTTCACCTAGCACCCAGTTATTTGCTGAACCAAGGTAATATTTTTCATTATAAAATCCAATTATTTCTAAATTAGGCATAGTACAGCACTATTTTAAAAATTTTATTGTCGGTAACAATAGATCTATAAACTATAAAATTAATATTTCCTCTTCATTCTAATGAGGCTTCATTACAGATGAATGGAATAGTTGTCAAAATTAAAATACCTAATGAGGCATTAGTGGGTATAATTTAAATTCAATTTGAGTCAAACATAATTCAAGTATATGGATAAAATTAAAAGATAGTTTAGGGGACATATTGTATAAAAAGGTTAAGTTGTAAATTTAAACAAATCTGACACTAATAATACGCTGTATAAGGTGCGTAAAAGCCTTGTTTCAAGGGTAATAGGCCAGTGGGCGAGAGCATTATGAGCGGGAATAATTCCGAACAAGCAAATTTTAATCTAATCGTTTGAGTCTCAGAAATTGAGTTATTATTTTACTACTTTATTGTTATTACGTAGTTTCTGTTGAGTGCAGTGTGAACTTTTAATATTGGCGAGCCAACAGCTCCTACAGAAACAGTGCAATCATGGATTAGCGATTTATCTCGATTTGGTGTTTGATGGTCTGGACCTAAATTATAAAGTGTGTGATGTAGTAATTTCCTATACATGTAAAATCACCGTAAGTAAACATGTGGCGTTGAAAAAGCATCAGACCTTAATTGGGAGACAGACAGAGAAATTTAAATAAGTATGCACCTTGTGATTGGCTGTAACATTCCTTAAAAGCAGTTGGACAACCGACTGTTTTGAAAATTATAAAAAACTGTGTTAGAGGATGGAACTTTGAGAAAGTGCAACTTTCTACTTCATCTACACTGAGAAAAGTGTATTTACCCTAAGTAGCTGATCATATTTGCCAGATTCGCTCTGAACTTGAGGGCAAATACATTTGGGTCAGTGTAGCAGAGAAGCAACGCATATGGGTCGAAAATTGGCAATGTATGTCCATGTTTGCTAGGATTCATTTCTGGTTTAGAAAGAACCTAGCTCCTCGACCGGGAATCGAAACCGGGTCTCTAGGGTATGAGGTAAATGTCTTTACTACTCGACCATGAAGCCACGATGCAGCAGCTTACATGAAATCAACTGGATGAATGCGTCAACAGATATTCAACTGTTTTCATATAACTTGCCTAGCACGCGCACATTTTCGTAACCAGTGCGTTAAAAAAAGTACCAATCTTCCAGACCTCTTCAAACAACATGGACTTATTTTATATTTGCACTTTTCTGCTGCCTTCATTCCTCTTCCAAAAAACGCAAAGAAGTTTACATGAATGATCTTAAACTTTATGCCTCCGGATAGCGAAAACTACAAAACACTCTTAGGGTGGTCGAAGAATACACGTGGGCAACTGGTATGGAGTTCGGGTTGGACAAATGTGCAGTCGTCCACCTCAAGAGAGGACGATGCGGGGAATTATCTGAAGATGCGCAGCTTGCAGACGGAAGCATCCTAAAACATCTCGATGCCGGAGAGATCTATACATATCTAGGTGTGCAACAAAGGCACATCCAGGATGTAAAACAAATAAAGGATTCTCTCCGCGACAAGTACAGACACCGTCTCCGAAAGATTTGGTCTTCCGAACTTTCGGGGAAGAACAAGGTGTCTGCGACTAACATGCTTGCCGTTCCGGTCCTTCTCTAATCCTTTGGAGTAGTCAAATGTGCAATAGACGAGCTGCGCCAATTAGACAGAGATATCCGCAAGATGATGAATATTCACAGAAGTATTCATCCTAGATCGTCCGTTCCTCGTGTGGTGTACCTCCCACGTCAACGGGACGCTGAGGACTCTTGAGCCTGGAGTGTACGCATGGCAGAGTAGTATTGAGTATGGCATGTAACATCCTCAGGAGCTCAGATCCCGTCTTGCGGTTTGTAAAACATCACGAAACTGTAGTAGTGGGAGCAGAATTCTTCAAGGAAGCAAAAAGAGCAGCAGATGAACTCGGGCTCACATTCGACATCAGGCGAGGTGGCCGGCGAGATGCTGATGTAGTCACTGAACTTCAGCTAAATCGCCTAAAAGTCCGAATTAGAGCAGCTGAACAGGAAAATCTGTTTCGGCAGCACGTCGATAAACCCCAGTATGGTGTCTTCTATAAAAACATAGAAACATTGGGTTTATCGACCAGGCTGACATTCGCTTTTCTAAGGTCAGCCGGGCTTAAGTCGGAGACCGAGGGATTCATTATGGCCTGCCAAGATGGTGTTATCAACACCTTGGTCTACCGCAGCCACGTGTTGCGTGTAGAGGTTCCTGACATCAACTGCAGAACCTGCCGTCAGACGCCGTAATCGCTCATGTGCATACTATCTGCATGCCCCGTATACACCGACATAAAGCGGCGTTACGAGTGCTATACTGCCATCTAAGGTACTCGTACTGGGTAGACCAGACGCCTGTGCTGCCTTACGTCCCCGGAGATATTGAGTCCGTTGTCGAGAACGAGAAATGCCAGATTCACTGGAACTACTCGTTCCCGACGGTCAGGCTAACCCAAGCCAACAAGCCTGACATAGTCCTCCTCGACCATCAACTCAAGGTGATATATATCATCGAGTTCTCGGCACCCGTGGAGAAAAACATTATCTTGAAGGAGGAGGAGAAACGTACCAAATACCGCGATCTCCGGTACGAGCTCCAAGTGCTGTACCCAGGGTACTCGGTCAAAATGGTCGTCCTTATAATCGGTGTACTCGGAGGGATAAAGCCTACGCTGCTCTTGGAGCTGAAGACCATACCGGCCTGCCAAAAATCATCTGAATGGCTGGCAGGCCAAATGCAGAAGGCGGTCATTCTGGGTTCTCTCCGTCTGCTTAGGGCACACGATTCTGGAATCTACAGTCACTAACCCTTCGTGATGTGGGGAATGGCTGTGGTTAATGTTCTGGCGCGACCCCCGTGAGGTGTCGGAGGCTACGGGTGGACTGTCCAGCGTGGGGAAGCCGATAAAAAAATAATAATCTTTATTGGTAATAAATAAATCCCTTGACAATATCTGTTGACAAAAATACACAATAGATATGAACAAAAAAAACTAAAAAATGAAAGTATACTATTTGCATTTATTACCAAAAGGCGGAGTTTGCAATTTTACATATAAATATAAGAGGCACTCTTACACTCAACACAGAAAATGGAAAATTTTATGAAGGAAAACCTGTATACCGTGAGTGAGCCTCTGTTGTTTACGTCATGCCGCCCGAAATTCCTATCTCTAGTGGCAATATGAACCGAGTAGTGAATATTTTCCCGTTTTCTCTTTAAACTAGATATTTGTTCGAAAATAGTCGAAAATACATACGAAACATATTTTCTGTATAACTTTTAACAGACCGGAGAGCTCCCTCACCGATTTTTTTTTTTTTATTTAAAGACATTAGTAAAAAATAGTATAAATTATGTAAGTAAAATAGTAAAAAGTCGTCTATTTAGTGTTAATGAAAACTCCACGATGAATACGATCTTAAATTTGTCACATCTCGGTGTGAATTTAATAAGTACGATTGTTTCTATTTAGTTGCAATAAAAATAATTTGCATTAATGCATAAATTACATAAAATCTATTAGAAATACGAACTACATTATAAATATGTTGTTCTAAGGTTAAACGTTTGTATAAATAACCGAAAATTTAAATTCACAACCGCAATCGCAATCATGAAAATTCTTTTGATTACTCTCGCAGTTTTAGCAGCTCTTTTGGTAATATAAAAAATTATTTTGTGATATTTTCAATAGTAAGACTCATTTTTACAAGTGCACGAAATTCATCTCAAAATTAGAACAAGCTCTAATCTATGCAACTTTGAACCCTTAACAGAATTTCAGCAAGTTTTGAATTTGAGCAGAACGTACAATTCTGCTGTAAATTTAATTTTTTTCGTTTCGGAAACAGCGTGTTGATTTTTCCAAAAAAAGATTTTCCTTAATATCTCTAACATGCGTAGAGATTTTATAATAAAACTCAGTGTACATAATGAATAAGAGACTTATTTTGATTTAACATTTTTTTTTTTCGAATCCAACTGGGGGGTATGCAAGTGAGTGTTTCCTCCCACTAAGTTTTCGCCATTTTAATATTTCTTTATCAATCACTATCTGAAACTGCATAAAAAAGTTACTTGAGTTTTTCTTGTACAAAGTGTTTCACAATAAAGTTGTCTCCGAAATCAAGCAGTTAAGAACAAAACCTTCTCGTCTCAAAATGAGTTCAGGAATAATTTTCTTAACTTTGTCGATGCAGATCAATGATGAATATGTCAATAATGATTATTAATCAAAACGACTACAACGATTAAAAAATGCAATCCAGTTGGTTTATAAAATTGCATATTGAGAGTTTTCTGTTTTATCTAATGTTTATTCATGTAAAAAAATATATTTTAACAGAGTGAAGCTGTAAGCGATAATGATAGCAGTCCTGTGTCTTCTCCAAGCTCAGCGAGTTCTTCGTCAATTCAATGTGATCTTGCAGTACCAGCAATTGTTTCAGATGAAAGAAGAAGTCCAATATTAGCGTTTATTGAGTGTTTGAAAAGTATAAACAGGAACCGAGATAACAGAAGAACAGATGTAAATAGAAAAAAATACACAAGATTAAATCACTAGGTCTTAATATTTTGTGTATCCCCCAATAAATTGGTTATTAATATGTTATTACTTGCTTATTTGTATTAGAAAATAATGGTAATAAAAAATTTTAACATTTTTTCTATTTTTAAACTTTATCCTATTTATGGTATGTATTTTTTAAAATATCAAAAATAATTAAGGTTAGCATAAGTTTATACAAATTGTTGCTAAATGTTCTACGTAAAAATGCAGAAATACATTGAATTTGTTGTTGTACTGAACATAATGCATGTTTTATCAGTTTTCTAATTAAAAAATAATCGTGGTAAATAGCCGGGAAAGCAGTTGTTTAGAAAAAAAATGTGTTGTATTTAAAATAATAATTAGTAATTTCCTTTTGTTATATTTCCGTTTTATTCCGTATGAAAGATAATGCCTACTAAATTTTAGTCTTTGAATCTACATAAAGTATGAATTTACCATATTTTAGTAAACTGGTCTTTATTTTTTTGTAATAATAAGGTGTACCTTCATCAAGTAATGAATTAAATCCTTGGTAATTGGTAATTACTCCGTTCGTGGTGCGTGGCACCGACAAAAATATTATTTTGGTGATAATTTAGCAAATTATGAACATATACACCAAATTTAACTAAGCGAAAATTAATAGCAAATTCTTGTACATAAATTTAAATAGGCGGATTTCTGCTATGTAAGTTTATATTCAAAATTTTTTAGTCATTTTTTTTATTGTTAAAATTTAGTATAAATATAAAAATTTGCTCCCTTGCAAATCATAGTTACCAGATCAGCATTTGAACTGTCTTCAAACATGAAGTATACTTTAGTACTTTGCGCCGTTTTGGCTTTGTTTTTTGTAAGTACAGAATTAATTAATTAATTAATCACAAAACAGAATTATTTTTAAAAGTCAATAAGGCTAAGGGTACTATTTTCCACCCCTTATATTTCGGCACCGCTCACAATCGACCAGCGCAGCATCGAAAGAAATTTGTAAGGAAAGTGTTCTTAGATTGTTAATAGAGTTTGTTATTCCATTCAATTATCCTGCTTTCATGCATGTTCTTTTTATATTGAGAACCATTAAAAAACAAATACTTGCAAATTACATAATTACTTCAAATGTAAAGAAAATCTATTTCCTCTACATATTAGATACTTCCATCGGTTTATTCTATGATATCAAAAACTTTTTCAAAAGTATCAGTATCATCGTTTAAAAAATACAGATGATTCAGTTAAACAAATTACAGTTTAAGAAAGTTGTAATCAAATTTTATAATAAATAAAAATAATTATTTGTTGGCCCTTCGGTGGCCTAGCGCCTTGGCTATCTTCGGCATAAGACAAATCCAGTCCTTCCATTGAAAATACTTTTACAGAAGAATCTCGTTCAATTGAATACCTACATATATAAAAATTGTATTACAGTTTTAAAGTTATGGTTGCATT